GAAAGTTGGCTGGTTTCCACTTGCTGTGGTGGAAATGTAAAAGGCGTTTCGTCGGGTAGTAGCGGCACGGAGCCGCTTCTAGTTTGTTAACATATATTTTCAACTCAATTTAATACAAAGAACAAACATCTTATTTTTTAGTCCAAAGATAATGTTTAAATTTTCTAAAAACAAGGATTAAACTTTAGATGTTGTGTTGGCTCTGTTATGCACTCTTTTTTTCCTAATGATACAGTAGGGAAAATGGACCCGGTACTTTAGAAATGAATCCGAACCTTTAGTAAAAACTCCTAATGGTTAGGGCTTCTTCCCGTTGTAATAAATGTGCACAAATTTGAAACGACCAATCATTTTAACCCTTTGAAAAAAACTGAAACTTTACAAAATTGTCCAATCAATTCAAACTAATTTCATTTTTCTTTTTTTCAACATTTTTGTTATTTTCTCTCTATATTTCATTGCGCCAAAACACTGTTAAATTACGGGAAATACATATTTGAACAATTATGAAATGTTGAACATTTTCTATTTTAATTAGTGTTAAAAACCTTGTTTATAGAAAATGTTTTTTCATATGGGAAAGTCTTTTCCAATTAACAATCAACAAGTAAAATTATTTACTTGTGAATTAAGATTATTTCTTTATCATATCTTAAACTTTGGATTCATGAAAATGGTATTCAACAATCCAGTGTGTATGGTAACAAATATCGAGGTGGTGAATTATTGTTATTTTATGAAAATATTTTGACAACCTATAATGAAAATGAACGACTTTACATGTTTACATTATCCAATATGGCACTATATAGTAATTTTATGTTGTAATACCAAATTGTTCATGTTTTATTTCCAAACAGTTTAAAATGTTATTACATTTTTTGTTTTTAAATGTTATTTTAAAAAAAATAATTTATTTAAATGTAAATAAATATATTTATTTATATTTATAATCTTAATAGTTTTGGATAGCTTTTTTATATAATCAGGGTTAATAAGTGATTAATTAAAAATTATAATCATTTAAAGAAAAAATCGAAAAAAACAATTTATTTCATACTGTTTGTTTCATTCGTATCTGTTTTATTAATTCGTTTGTATCCATTAACACATTCGAAAGCAACAACCAGAGTGATACAAGACCTCTCAAGTAGTATAACTATGAGCGGTGTCTATAACTAAGTTTAAAAATCCAGTTAAAACAATCAAAATTTGCTGCGGCTCGGGATAAGAGGTGATCGACCAGAGAAAGGCATCTCTCTTAAAATTTAAACAAATTGTTGTATTTTTTGTTATTTGAATTTTGTTATTGGTATTTTCTTTTATGAATATTGTTTTTGATAAAATGTTATTTGAATTTTTGTTATTTAAATAATGTTATTGTCGATTAAGGGTTTTGTCCCAAAAATGTATTTTTTTACCGTTTCACATTTTTTACTAAAGTTGCCCTAATTGTTCTAATGGTCCTAGTTCATTTCTCCTACTGTAAGTCTGTATTATTTCAAGGGTTTTTATAAAATAATTTGATAGTTTTGTATAGAATGTTATAGTATTTTTATTTATCATCCAAGTGATATACCACCATATTTTATCGGATTTAAATTCAACTCAATACATTTTACTGTAAGTTTTATTCTTTTTTTAATATTTGTTTCTGTTATATTTTTAATAATAATCAGTTAAAGGTTCAAAAATCCATTATAAACAATATTTTAACTATAAAATACTTATAAATAAAAATTATCAATTGATTTATTTAAAGCTTAGATTCTTATTTTCTTTGTGAAAATTCTTTTTACAAAGACCAAGTTAAAAAATTTTTCAAAAAAGTTTTAAACATGGTGTACTTTATAACAAAGATTTCAAATGTTTTTTGGCAACAATATTTGAATATGGAATTTCAAAAGCCGAGTGCTTTTTGAAAGTGCTCAACTCTAGTAATCATAACAAAGTTATGATTACTAAACCTTTGAATTATAATTTAGTGTAATTATGTGATAATGTTTTTTTTTCTGTTGTTATATTTTTTTAACAAAAAATAAAGTTAATTTGTCTTTTGTTTAATGCTTTCAACAAAACGAAGAAATGTTAATGAAAGTTTTCTTGTAATGTTTGATTTCAAAAAGCTTTGAATTGATCAATTTCTTTTTTTAAGTTGAAAATGTTTCATTAAAACATCACCATAATAACTGTATTGTTTAAACCAAAAATTAATTAAACTTGATGCCATATTTTTTTTGTTGTTTAAAAAGCCTATAATTTTTTCAGGATAAAAATTTTGTCTTGTTATAAAGTGTCATTTTAGTTTATTTACTCATCCAGTTTTTTGTTTTTTATTTTTTTCTGAACAAATTAATGTGTTTGTGAATAAAAGAAAGATAAATAATAGAGTTTTATTTACCAAAAAAATAAGATTATTAGGGTTGGCGTTTTTTGTTTTGGAGCTGCTCTAATTCAATTTATTCTTTTTTACTTTTTGAAATTGTTTTAAAGTGGGAATTGCTAAGAAATTAAGTTTTAAATGGTAAACATTGTTGTTATTTGCCGATAGTTTCGTTTATTGTGGGAACTTCTTTTGTTCTAATAATATAACACCAAGTAAACAACGTTTAAATAATGTACAACTTTTACGGACTGACTCTACGAAATATCAAATTCTTTAATGGGAATATATTTGTTTATTTTTATAAACAAAATATATAAAAATTTAATATATTTTATTATAATAATAAGATTCATTTTGAAAATAAAACCGAAAAACGATTTAAAACATCTTATTGTAAATAAGATGTTTGAAAACAAATAGAATACAGAACTTATCCTTTATAATTACGTTTATTATAATTGGTTTGTTATTTACACGTTTTGATGAGTTATTAATATTGTACAAACATTTTTGGATTCAGAGTGTCATTTCTCACAATATAAAAATGTAATATCTTATTTACTTTAACCAGAGTTCCCCAAGTGTTGAAAAACATTAGCAGGTTTGATAATTAAGAGCTTTTGTCATATCAAAAGAAATTTTATTAAAAAAATAATTGGAAAAAAGTTTGTTGGTAAATTCTGTTTCTTTTATTAATTGATTCAAAAATAAAAATAAGCGAAATTCCTATTAATAGATGGTAATCCTAATAATACCCACAAAAACAACCAATCAATTTAAAGTATTTTTGGATTGTTTAAACAAAAATGATGTAAATTTGAGTAAATTTAACTGTAAGAACAACAATGTGAGCTACGATTTTTTTATTATTTTTGAAATAAATAACCAACCAATTTATTAAATTATAATTATACCAATTTTAACACAACAGATAAAAAACAAATCAATAACAGGCTTGGCAACTCAAGAATCACCTAAGAACCACAGCCCACACGTACAACATTGTGTTCTTTATTGTGGGCCGGTAGTCCAACATCAAAACCTTTCTCGAGCCTTGAAAAGTTTTTTATTCATGTCAACCTTATTGTTTATATTAGTTCTCAGTTCGTGCTTTTATAGCACAAATTAAAATTATAATTATATTTTCTATAATATTTTATAATAATTAAGCAACAATAATTATGGCATACAGAATTCTGGTATCGTTTAAAACTATATATTATAGATTATAACAATTAACATAATTGATTTTCATTTTTCTAAAAATGTAATTTGTTGTTGTATTTTTATTTTTTATAAACTGTTTTTCAAAAGTCTGTACTGTCATATTTTTAGAACTTCCTTAAGTCCCATTTTTTATTTTTGTTTTTTCCTAAAAAAAACAAAAAACAAAAAATCGAAAGTACAGACTTTATTTAAAAAAAACACCAATCCCGTTCTATTGTTTCCGTACAAATTCGGGAAAATGTTGGAATATTAGCCAGCCTTTTCCAAAAACCCGATTCCGTTATTTGATTTGACCTCAACTCGATACTTCGCAACATATATTCAGTATTGTTGTCCTAAAAGCACAACAATTAACGTTTAAGTAAATTGGATGTTGTTGTTTGTGTCGAGTTTTAACTGAATATTACTCTCGTTAATAATTATTTTCAATTAAAAACAAACTGTGTTTTTCTTCTCTGAATAAAAAATAATGAAATAAAGAGGTTCAAAAACACCAAAAATTACAGCAAATGTTTGATAATGAAAAATATTGACATCAAGTTTATTTGCTTTTGTACTAAAATGCACTTTGGGATCATTCTTTTCATAAGTAACCCTTGTCAAAAATATACTAAATTAAAGGACCCTGTTATAGTTATAATTAATATTAAATTATAATGAAGTCAAGTTTTTAGTTGTTATTGTACAAAACGACAAATTGAAAAAAAAGACGGAAAAATCGAAATAAGGGAAAATAATGATATGTAAAACAGGGATAAAATTAGACAAAATATATTAAAGTCCCGAAAAACATAAGAAAAAACTGTTATAACGTGTCGGACTTTGTGGCCCAAGTTTATGTTGTCTTGATTTCAAATATGTTATTCCAATCAAAAACAACACA